GGAGTCACTGTGGACTGGGACTGAGGGGCTAGGGCACTCTCCTCACCAGCCTGGAGTCACTGTGGACTGGGACTGAGGGGCTAGGCCTCTGTCCTCACCAGCCTGGAGTCACTGTGGACTGGGACTGAGGGGCTAGGGCTCTGTTCTCGCAGGCCTGGAGTCAATGTGGACTGAAGGGCTAGGGGCTAGGCCTCTGTACATTGGGCTGCGTTTCATCACCGTGGAGACATGAGGGTTAGGTGAACACCAGCTTTTATATTTTTTAAAATGGAATTATTATAAACTTTGAAAATAAAAAAATGCTTAAAATCGTAATTACAACAAAACTGTACATAATAGAGAATTCTACAATTTGTGAATGCTATATTTCAGAAACAACTAAATAAAACGGTCTACAATGTATTTTACTACACAATCTCTGTGCGCTACTGTTTTTCTCCTCAGTGTGTTGTGTATGATGGCTGTTGCTGTGTCTCTGTGGAGTGTCTGTGCTTGAGCCAGAGTAGCACTCAGAGGAGCTTAAGTCAACCCCAATTTCTGCACAGGGCTGAAAAGAGAAACTGGATCGAAGTTAAGTGAGGTTTTGGAATCAAAGAGCTGTTTTCCGCATGGCATCTTCTGACAGTATCCTCGCTGCCGTAGGGAAGCTTCGATCACAGACTGCAAGAGCTGCATTCAGTCCAGCTCTGCCCCAAAGCCGGGCACAGGGAAGCTACTGTACTGTCAACCCTGGCCCCCCGCGCAGTGCACAAGCACCTGTGTTTGTTGTGTGCTGGAAACGGCACCGCAATGTGTCCACACTGGGCTCTGAACACCACAGCTCTGTCCTTCAGCGACACAGGACAAGCCATCTGCACAGAGGACACCACTGGGCCCAGCCTGCTTGTCAGGGCCGTGACACTTGACATGCGAATACTTCAGCGAGATGAAAGGAAGTTCAAAAAGCCAATCTGAAGATACTGTGAGAGGCAGTCAGAGGCCACTCAATACTGTATAAAAGATCTATTAAATATGTACAGTAGATTCCCATCAGGAGTTCACACAGGGGCTGGAGTAAAAGGGGCACATCCATCGCTAGTGAGCTCATTAATCAATTACACAGTTTACACCTCCACAGCTAGTGTGTTCATTAGTTAATTAGTAAATTCTATACCTCTACAGCCAGTGTTCATTAGTTTATTACAGAGTTTAAACCTTCACAGCTAGTGTGTTCATTAATCTCCTTTACAAGCTAATTGCACATGAAAGGACACAAACCATCTACAGGATTATGGGCTACAAAACCAAGACTGAAATACTCAGCACCCAGGTTTTCAGTGGTGAAGCAGCTCTCCGTCATTCGGGGTGGGGATCTCCTCGAGCTCTTGCTACTGAGACGCCATCTGGCCTTTCGGGACAGAAGGGGGCTCTCTCAGGGATGGGGTGATTCTAGCAATTGGTGGAGAATCTTGAGGGTCCTAAAGAAAACTCTTAGGCAAGAGGGTAAAATTGGCAGAGCAGTAAAAGTTCAGCCGCCATCGATTACTCTGGGGAGCCTTAGGTGTGGCATCAGCGCATGGAGACCTGCTGCAGGGCAGAGTGGGCAGCTCTGAGAGCCTTAGCTGTCAGCAAGGAGGAACACGAAAGTGGAACGTCCAAGATTAGCCGTACACTCCCGGGATACTGTGTAAGCGTTCCCTAGAGCCAAGCTACTCGGTCACAGGACATTCCACATGTGCTGACAGTGCTGGTTCGCCCCCTAGTGTCTTTACTGAGAATGTCACCTTCAAATGAGGTAATTTGGTATTCCCAGAGTCTCCTCGCTCAGTGGAGTGGTTCCAGTTGGCTCTCCCTGTAGTCTCCTTGTACATCTCTGGCGAGGATGGCACAGTCTGCAGCTGTACAACAAGAAAGCATTAACATCCAAGAGGAATGTTTCAAATTACAGAACGATTGCTCACTCGCTTATGGTGAAAGAGCCAGCACCGTTCACCAGCCCATCCAGAGGATAATAGGAGGGGTCTCTCGGAAATAGGAAGACCCAAACCCATTAAACACCTTTTCCCCAGGGTTTAAAGAAGGACAAGGTACACTGGCGTTTACATGCTGGACCAAATACAGAACCATATGGGCCAGTTGGTTCATTTTTATGACGTTTGTAACAGTTCTCATGCTCTTACCTGTGGACAGCTCTGTACAAACGAGCGAGGCTGCACTGAAGAACAGTGGACTGTTCAGAAAGCATGGACCGTCGTCAAGAGATCGCAGGCTGAAGGAATGAAAAGCTGCCGCTGGCATCCCCACCCTACAATCGGATCACGGCGCTCGAGGAGATGCGCGAATCTGTTCCCTGTCCAGCACACGGAGCCGCAGTCCTTGACCGCAAGGACTTATTTTCCGAACGAGCCCTGAGAGACGCTGGGGTGGATTTACTGAGCACGGACTGAAGTCGCCGAAGACGGACAAGAAGACAGATTTCTCTGTGCCAAGAGGGGACACCCCTCGGTCTCTAGGACACACAGAAGCTTTGGGAGCTGTCCTCCCGGGATGCAGAGTATCCCACATTACGGTAGGGCAGGGAAAGCCATGTTTGGACTGGAGGGGGTTTGTCAGCAGCGCATCGTAGGCGAGAGTGTTTAAGTGCGGGATGCAGCAGGAAGGACCACTGAGGCTCTCGGGGCTGCAGGAGGCCTTCAGGGTATTGTGTGCTCGGACAGCAAACTGGATAATGGATAAAAAAGGCCAAGGTGTTTAAGAAAACACATAGTTTTCAACTTAGAGGCAATAAGAGAGGCAAGCAGCATGTTAATGTACAGTTAAAGGTGCAGAATGAAAAGCACTGATGGACAAGCGTCTCCAGGGGGCTGCTGCAGCTCTTGGGCAGCAGACAGCGCTGCGGGCCCTCACAGTCCTGGGGCTGAAGGCGTGTGCTGAGCACTTACACACTTTTCCTCATGTAGCATTTCTACATCGCTGGAGTACAGCAGAGAGCTTCTGGATCTAACCTCTGACTTTCGTGGTAACATGGGCTCACAGTAACCTATGAACCTTCCCAAAAGCACTTGTCTGCGGTTGGAAAGTTTGGCTGAATGACAATAGACTGATTAGATTATAAGCTGCTACTCAAGGAGATACTGAAGTGGGATCTAATCACAGCTCAACATATTTCAGACTGGTAAATAAAAGACAATCAAGCAGAATTCACTTCTGTATAATCAAAACACAATTGTTTTTTGTGTGACAGTTTGACAGCTCAGGCCTTCAGGGTTTTATTTCAGCTCCCCTGCCCCTCATGCCTCGCGAGAACGTTTAACAAACAGAGACACGCGGCGTGCAGCTGCCCCCAGGCCGGAAGCGATGGCTTGGAGGGTTGGGGGACAAAGCAGGGTTCTGTCCTGAGACGGAGGACAACAACATGCTGTCGTTATTTTGTTTTCTGTCAAGTCTTCAGATTTCCTCTGAAGTCCTCCCAAGTTACAAAGGCTGACAGCTGGCCTGATACTTACAGCATGCCTGACCTGCACTTCCCACACACAGAGTATTTCACGCTGGTACAGTACGGTGCTATGGGGGGCTCCGGAAGAACGTCACTGGCCTTGGAGAGGACAAACCCCTCTAACCCTCTAAAGACCCCCGAGGATACGGTGGGACAATGATCTCCAGTCCCAGCCAGAGCTATGTGTGGGGCAGCTGTGAAGACAGACGCCCAGTGCTGTGACAGAAAAGAGGAACTGCACAAATGATCCAGAAAGACAACAGCAGAGCACCTGGAGATACTGTAGTACCGCTCTTGTTTATGGCTTCCCGAGGACACAGCTTAAAAATAATCACAGTTTCCTTGGACAGAGCAGCAGTGAAGAAACGGGCAGAGCTGTGTGCTCTGGGCCAGGGGCAGCCTAGAGCCTCACATGCTCACAGTAAGGGTAGGAGCACAACGTGAGGCTTTAATTTACAGGCCCGGCAGAGACAATATCTCAGCCGCAGGCACTCTGAGGAGAGCGAGGCTCATTTACAGAGAGAGAAATTGCCTGCGTCAGCACAGGCATGAAGAGGAAACAGCAAGAAAGCACTTACTGTGAGAATGTCCTGAGAGAACAAAAAGCATAACTACACTCTAAAGCATTGTAAGGCAAGGCATACAAAAAGAAAAAAGAACAATACAGTCTGTTGTGTCTGGCAGGACAATATTAAGCAGTAACTCAGAACAGAAGTTAACAGAGTTCTAGGGACTGTTAACACAAGAATCCTCATGGACAGCACGTGTGTAAAAGTTGTGCACAAAAACACACCACGCTGAGCTGCAGGAGTGAGCCAGACACACCCCCA